TCGTAAACTCTACCTCTACACTCACAATTGCTCTTTCTGAATTCATTTTCTTTGCTTAAATGTCTATTTCAGGCATCACCTGAATGGAGATGAGATAAGGGAACTCATCAGGCTGCCCATCTCCACCACAGCTGACACCATCACCTCCAGTGCCTAGGTACTGCTCTGCAGAACTGCTGTGCCCTCTGTTGCTGGTGGAGGGCAGGACTGCTGTCTCAGTCATCTCTGTCTGTCATGGAGCATCACTCATGGAAATGTCCCAACCTCTCATCAGGCCCTCTAGGTTCAGTTCTCTGTTTCTTATTTGAATAAATATGACAAACCAGGCAGCTGCTTCTGCCACTGCTTCTGTAAACACATTGACTTTAAAATGCTGATGGCCACCTTGGGAGCCTGTTCTAGACAACATGCCCTTTTTGATATATTTCTATTTCGTATTTTTTGAGCAGCTAATGAAAAATTTAAAAAGAGGATAATCAGTATAGCTTCATGTGTTATTTTGATGTCCTTCCTTTTGCTTACCATGGGAGGGCCATGACATCTATCACTCCCTATTTAACTTGATGTCAGACTTCCTGACTGGCATGCCAATGCTCATTGACTGTTCAACGCTTCCATGGAGTCATCTCAGGACATCAGAACTCTGCATCTCTCTAGTTCTGTTCAAAGGAGCTGTTTCACGGTGGCTGGGATTTAATGAGCTTATTTGGCAGTAAAATTCACATTGGATTTCACTTGTTAGCACAACTCAGCATTTTGGTTCAAGATGCTAATGATGATAATTGGACCCAAAAATCTGCATGAGAAAAAGATGAGCTGGAAGCTGGGAGGGGGTGGAGTACTGAGGCCAACCCTGTATAAACATCACTATATAGCCCCAAATGATCACTACATTCATTTATCATGCTAATTATTCCACCAAGTGGTGGGAAAGACCATTTAATGAATCTGTCAGTCTCCCAGGATAAACAGAAGAACAGCCACAGTAGTGTGTGAGTTCGAGCAAGAGGGCCAGCAAGGTGGTGTGTGTGTGTGTGTGTGTGTGTGTGTGTGTGTGTGTGTGTGTATGTGTATTGGTGTTTTGGGGAGAAGAATATATGAATATTGAATTCAGTGATTCAGTGATCCTTGATTTTTAATAAATGAAAAGATGCCTCAAAAGTTAGCACCTGCCAATTTTTTACATTCCTTTATTATATTTTCACTTAAAAGGAAACTTTTGAAGAAGTGAGAGGGACAACAGCTTGTCCCTTGTGCCTGAGGGAGAATTTATTCTTTAACTTGTGACATTCCTCCATGTTTGGCTTCCTGCTTATTATCAGCAGTGTCAATAGACTCCTAGCCTACTGTCCAGGCCTGAATATTCGGCATGGCACTTGCAGCAAGCCTGTTGCAAACTGTGTCTGAGACACTGTCTATCCTCCTCGGATCACACTGACTACTCTACTAGGAAACAGGGTTAACTGAGACTTCTTGTGGAGCATACACCTCTGAGAAGCTGATTTGTATAAAAAGAAAGGGAATTGCTGTTATGATGGAGATGTGTTAGGTTTTTTTTTTTTTTTTTTTTTTTTTTTTTTTTTTTTTTTGTCACTGTGACAAAATACCTGAGCAAACCAAGCTGCAATGTAAATGTTTGGTTTGGCTCATTGTTTCAAAGGCTTTGGTCCACTGTCAGTTTCCCCACTGCCTGAGGTAAAGAAGAATATCATGGTCTTCAAGAGAGTCGTGGAGCAGAGTTGCTTACCTCCCGGCAGCTAGGAAGCAGTGAGACACAGAAAAGACTCAAGGACAAGGCACTCCCTTCCAGGTATGTCAGTGACCTTTCTTCTGTTAGAGCCACCACTAACAGATTGTTCAACTATGAAGATTTTAGAAGCTACATGTTCCAGTCACCTCCTCAAAGCCCAACCGTGGGGCTGAGGAGGTACGTTAGAGAAAGCACTTTCCATGTAAAATGAGGGCCTGAATGCTGAATTCACATCCCCCCAAACCTATATAAGATCACAGAGCACAGACTGCAGAGACAGGAAATGCTTGCTAGGTAGATTAATCAAGGTAGCAAGCTCTAGAGTCATCAAGAGACCCTACCTCAATATATAAAGTACAGAGAGAATGAGAAGGATGCCTGGCTGCTGTCCTACACACACACACACACACACACACACACACACACACACACACACACACTTAAAATTTCTATAAGCTGGAAACCAAACCTTTGACACACAGGTCTTGAGGAAAAACTCTCTGATCTTTGTCTAACCAGTGTGAGGTCATACTGTGGTCTTGGTGAAGACACATGCTCTCTTGTTGGAGGTTATCCTTGCATTATCTGCTGAGGTGACCCTAAGCCAGATATTTTCATCTCTATTTTTTACTCCATTTTAGAATTTTACTTTTCAGATTCATTTTAAGACTGACTTAGAGCTGAGGACTGTCCTGACCAATCCTCACCTTAC